AAGTTTGGGGTGCGTCTTATAACCGAGTGCGCCTTATTATCGAGAAACTACGGATAGGCACCACATTAAATTCTTTCTTCATTAGACAACTGATAGAACACGGAACTTTTTTTTGAGCGTCGGTATTCTACAATTTTTAGAAATTATACCTTATATGATTTACATGTATTCACAGTCATTTATTCATCACCACAGGGTTTATTACGAACCATCATCTTGACCAGCTCCCAGTTGGCTTTTTAACTCAGTTGGTAGAGCACTGCACTAGTATTGCACAGGCCATGGGTTCGAATCCCGTACAGGCCTGAATCTGGCCTTATTTTCACTACTGCTCAAGAAGTGTTATTTACTGCGAAGATCGCTTTGATATTGACAACTTACACCTTCTAGTGGTCAGAATATAAGTTATCTTCTGATCACTAGAAGGTATGAAGTTCTACCATAATGATTTCATGATTTCTATCTAGTGCTTTCCTTCATTCATTCATTCATTTATTCATTCCTATCTTCTATTCATCCATTAGACTGGGCATGCTTGTCTATAAATCTATTACGCCGGGGGATGTTTAAGCTTTAGAAACCTTTGGATAAAAACAAATAAATAATTTCGTGTATCACTTGTCTTATTGCGCACTTATGGCTCATTTTAGCAGCACGAAACTGCATAACTTAATTTTTTAAGATATAATGAAATATATGAAGTTCATATATTTTTAACCTATAAATTTTTAACTTATAAAAGTCATTTGAAGAACTGTCAACAGAGTAAAAAATTTATTGATATGCGACAATGTGGCACCAAGAGAAAATAATTATTTTCTTTTCCATTGGTAAAAATTTCCAAGAGATAATCAATCTTCTGTCAATCTTCATACATATATCTTCTGTCTACCCCGCGGTAGACATGTATTCATTTGAGAACATTTCCTGTAAGGCGTTATCGATTTAATAGTAATTTATCGCAGAACCCGTGGCTGACTGCACCCCAAAGTTCATTGAGGGTTTTTATCCATTGTAGTTTTGAATTACTGTGGATTATTTTGTTCCTTACAGTCATTTGATTACATCGTGTTTTTCTCATACACTAGAACATATATATTATCAAACGTCAAGAAAAGCTACAATCGCTTAGGGAAATCGATAATAAGTTTTTGTTTTAATATTTCATAAAAAAAACAGAAGTGTCCGGGAAAGTGTAAGCAGGTGAATGCAGCCACTACTACGGCATAACGAGGAGCCACATCAGTTTAATTTTCCTCTTAAGCGGGGAGAAATAAATGCAAGCTCTTTACCAGTTGCCTCCCACTAAATTGGCTGGTTGACTGAAGTAAATGTCGCCGGCTAGCAGCCAAGGCTATATGATAGTTCAAATGTTCCGGCACCTCTTAAAAGCATTTTTAAACGGACTGACAGATAATTTAAGCATTGCAGACGCAAATCCTAATTGGTAAAAGGGAACTATATCGTATATGTGCACGATCCTTCGCAGTAAAGCACTATAGTGCTTTACTGCGAAGGATCGTGCACATATACG